GAGGCCCCGCGCGACCCTCGTCTCTGGAAACTTTGTGCGGGCGCCCCCACCTGCTCTCGGCTGTTCTCGCATCCTCTGGGCAGCGGGGTCAGGAAAGGCCGGGGCCCCCTCCTCATCGCCCGGTCCCCTCCTCGCTGGCTCTCGGCGCGCACCCCCCGCTGCTCCTCTCTGCGGCGGACTCGCGGCCCTGGATACCGGCCCTCCGGCTCCTTCGCGAGCATCCTCTTCTGCTCCCCTCGTCTCCCGACCCCTCTGCTCTTCGGCCTCGCCGTGGCCTCTCTACCCCCTTATTCCGTCGTCGGCATCCACCCGCTGCTAGCCACAGGGGCCGATCGCGGCTTTTTGCGTCTTCCAAAGGTTTCTGGTGCATTGGTAGAAACAACTCGACTTTCAGCAATGCCAAGTATTCAACTCGAGTATTTCTCTGCGGCGGTAGATTAGTGTGCACAGGGCTAACATGTCTTTTTATTTCTCCTAAGTACTTTGCTCCATAGCGAAGTTGCGTGTGAGGGGAGTTGCGTGCTGTAGCTGGCTTAAGTGGATTGTATAACTATATTTTATTTAGGTAGTTGTTGCTAATGGTACCAGCCAGTGTTATGGTAACTGGGCATCCCAGAGGCAAGGGAAATTACTTACAAATGCATTTCTACCCTGTGGGGATTTACAAACAGAACAAAGCAAAAACACTTGCAGTTTTCATCCAGCAGGATCTCAAAGCATTTAGCATGTGTTAACTAGCCTGTTCATCGTAGTTTTATAAGCTAGGTAGGGTAGAAAGCATTACCGTCCCGTTTTACAGTTGTAAAAATGGAGGCAAAGAGCTGAGTCCTAATTTTTTACTACCCTTAAAGAAATATGGACCCAGAGGTTTATCCCAGAGTTTCCTGGAATTCCTGGTCCGTAAATCCACTCATAAATATAATGCAACGTTGAAACATCCTTCCTGAGATTCAACAGATCAATTAAAAATCAAAGAGGCTGAAACCAGCGGTCAGCATCCATGCTTGGGACTCAGCTCTGTCACAGAGTTAAGTCATACTGAACAAGTCGCAACTGCTAAGCGTGTTTCCTGCTCTTTAAAATGAGGGGAAGAAAAGTGCTGTATTCTTTGTAAAGTTGTGTGAGTGTGTCTGGAAGCTCCACTCTCTTGAGCTGCATTTGATGATAGTTACTTGTCGTGGACTCATAAAGGCCCTCATTTTTGGGTTCCCTTTAGAAACCCAGGAAATGAGGCACCTCCAGAATGAATAACTATCTCTCTTCACCAGAGACACCTGAGAATTCATGACAGGGACAGGCCCTACCCCAACCTGGGTGAGGGTAGAGAGTTGCTGGGTGGAGGTAGGAAGGAGCCCTGCACAGGCGGCTTGACACATGGGCCCTATTCCTGCCTCCAGCTCTGACTCATGTTCTGACGCTTGGGGGAGGAGAGGTAGTTGCTTGATATTTTTGGCTTTCCCCCATAAAAGGGGAGAAGTTTCCTTCATTCCAGGTCTTTTTAACGTCAGTGTCGAACGTGTTTATGCTGTGTTCTCATCTGAAATCTTTCATATTGGCTGAATGCAGGTATGATTTCCATAATATTCTTTAATAGAATGGCATAAATGTATATTCATATCATGAAAAACTGGCCAGGTGTATAAGTCCAGGGAATCCTTTAAAACGTTAGCATAAAAACTACCATTTTTAAATGATAATCTTTAGGGAGTATCTGAGTTTGGTGGATATTGTGCAATTGGGATTTTATTTAGGGCAAGGTGGATTAAAAATGCTTTTTCTCAATATCATAAGATATATATTCATCATTCTCTATGTAAAAAATTAAAACTTTACAGATAAGTCTAAAGCCTTCTTTTGAGCATCTTTCCGAAAAGCAACTGCTGTGTGTATCTTTATTGGTAGATTATCCCTTTAGACTTTTCTAAGCATTTTCATAAATATCTGTTTGCAGAAAATGACTTTTTAATTGAAATGAAGTAGTATGAAGTTAACCAGTCCTATTCATAGAGATTTGGTTTCTGTCGAGAATAGGTAGCATGTGTTTTAATGACAGCTGGTTGTAAAGTTTTATTAACCCTGATAGCGTGGTAGTATTTCCCTGGACAGTGGGTAGATGACCCCTTCTTAACCAGCTTCAGAGCAGTTAAATCCTTAAGATCCTAGGCATTACTCTCAGTTGCAGATGAAACTTTCCCATTAGGAGAAAAGAAATTTAGAATTACTAGTGTATTCATCTTTGCTTTGCTTTGCTGATAAGGAGGCATTAAAGGGAATGGAAGCCAGGGAGAGTTGCTAAAGCAACAGCGCCTGGGTATAAACTTACAGAGCAAACATTTAAGGTGGTAGCTTTAGTTATTTATGAAAGCTTCACTGCGGTGAAGACAAAGAAGGGGAAGTATTAATGTGGGCACAGTTCAAATCAGTAATTTCAGGAAATGGGTGAGTTAAAATTCACATCAAGTGTTTATGAGTTTAAATGTTAGACATGTATTGAGGACTTTTGTCATGCTAAAGATACTGTGCTCAATACTGGGGTAGAAGGCAAATAAGGTTCCTGATCTCAAAAAAGCGATAATTGCGTTCAGAGAGGAAGTGTTCTTTCCCCAGTTAGCCAGAATTGTAATGGTTTTGAATTCACGGAAATCAAAATTGTATTTATTTAACCATTTTTTTTTTATTGTGAATTATAATACACAGAAAAGGGTATAAAACAAATGCATAACTTCAGGAATCATTTTAAAGAAAAAACAGTCATAACCATCCGGCAGGTCAAGAGGTACCCTCATCCAGCTATTTCCCAGTGACAGCCTCTCCCTCACCCCAGAGGTAACCTTGCCTCTTTTGTGTGGAAATCACTTCCTTTCTTTTCTATAGTTTTATCCCATAAATATAAATCTCTAAACAGCACAGTTTCATTTTGCCTGTTTTTCACCTTTATGCAAAGTGATCAAAGTAAGAATTCTTTTAAATCCTTTTTTTGGGGGAGTCAGTATTATATATGTGTCTATATATAATATTTTATTTATATATATGTATTGAATGTCAATTCTATATACATAGAATTGACAATTCTAATTCTATATACATATACATATATGTATATAGACATATAATTTTTTGTTTAAATTCTTGCAGCATTATATTTTTTTAAGATTCATCCATGTTGTTACCTGTGACCATACTTAGTTCATATTTGTATGAACCACAAGTAATTTATCTGTCATCCATTGCCGATGGACATCTGGGTTGTTTCTGGTCTGGGGCAGTTATGAACAGTGCTGGGTCATAGGTATGCGTATCCAGCTCTACTAGCTGATGCCTATTTTCCAAAGTGATTGTACTAATTTACATACCTCCGGTTGTGTCAGCCTTGAGTTTATAATCCACTGTGTTTGCTGTTTAATCACAATATGTTTGGATATTTCTTGAATGAATACATGCACCTGTGTGGACTGATCCCTGGTCCTTTATATACCAGTGTGTTTATATATACTTATGTTTAATTGTATGGTTTGGACTAACATATTACCTAAAGGCCAGAAATGAGTTTTCCACTCTATTTAGTTGACAAATACCCCAAAGAACCCTTCCCTTGATCCTCTTTTTCTTTAACAGATGTGTAGTTATAGGGAAATTTAAATATGCAAGATGAAGTATTAAAAATAAAAGTTTCTAGTACCTAGAAGTTTTTTAAAGGTTTTGGTGAATCCTCTCTCTCGTCCTTCCTTGGCAGTTCCAGAGGAACCATAGCTTCTTCGCTACCGCAATGAATGACTCTTTTGCAATCTTTAAAATGTACTTTTCTCCAAATCTTCCTTTGTGTCTGAAGAGGTAGTTTAAAATTGGGTTTGATATAGAAAATTCCTGCTTTCTGAGTAGACAATTGCCAGGTTAACTTTAATTGTCTGTGTTTGGTGTTGCTAGCTAGATTTAAAGCTAGGGGTGTGTGGGGGTGTGTGTTGGGGGAAGGAGGACAAGGGAGTGAAAGAGATGATTGGGAGAGATGGGGAGGTCACGGCAGGACAGTTATTAAATTACTAAATTCAGTTATTTGTTGAGTACTGTGCCTAGTATTATCTCCTAAGTCTATTTCTAGCTTAGAGCAGAATGTTCTACAATTCTACAGGTTTAGAAAATACCCTCAGGGAAATCTTTTTTCTTAGCTGGAGGGATGATGGAAGAACAGTATCCCTAAGAATGTGAGATTCGTAGTTCTTTTTTATTTCTTCTGTTAGTCATCTTGGAAAATAGCTAAATTATTCTATTTTAAGTCTTTATATAAATCATGAATACTTTTTTACTTATGTATTAAATATTTTTTTCATATTTTCTAAAATAATCATAATTAAAAAAATTACTTATGTATAAGTTCAAGAAAAGACAGTGGGAGGATAAAAAGTAATGTTAAAACCTCTTAATCTATGTGATGGGGAAAGAAATCCTATTTGTGTTCTTCTGTATCCCTTCGGGTGGGCAGCAACTTATAGAGGGACTGTTTTCCACCTATTGCAGGAAAGGGGTGGTGGCCTGGGTGTGGAGGTCAGGTCCATGTCCTGTCACATGCATTCCACAGCCCTCCCACCTCACACTTCCCATTCTTGCTCTTTCACTGATGGAGAGTGACCTTCTATCCAGTTTGGTCAGCTTTCCCCGCTGCCATCTTGAAGTCTCATTGGGCCAAAAGGCCTTTTTGATATTTATATACAATTGCTGGGTTTCTGCCTTTGTTTCAGAATAGTTTCAGCATCAATTGCCTGTGGTAGATCCTTTTGACATCTTAACTCTTTGAGTTTATGGATACACATGAGAAAATTCTTAAACGAGAGCATGCTGCTTCTGTTGACTAGTAAAACATTTACGTGGCAGAGAGAACATGTGAAACACCAGCCTTCCTCACCTGGAAGAGAAAGACCATGAGGTGAGCTTGCTTGAAATTTTTGAGGAAGTACTGGTAAAAATAAAATCCGGGGGAGTACTGTCAGCATACAAGTTCTATACAAATTTGAAATCAAGATTTATAATTAAGAATTTCCCTAATTTAGCCATTGTGTCACTCTGTTATCCTTGCCAAGTTCTTTCATCAAATTGATTGTTAGTCTAGCTCTTGGGTGAAGAGCACTGCCAGGCACAAGCCAAAGCCTGGAGAGAGAGCCTGGATCGACAGACATTTGTTGTGGTTAATTTTCTTCTATTTCAAATAATTTTTAATTTTAGAAATTGCAATCACATAGAAAATTACAAAGAACAAATTAACCAGCACTATTACTCATAACTCAAAATTGGTCATACTTAATTTCTTTTATTTAAAAAAAATAAAGCATTATGAAGTTGAGGCTTCCTTGGGCCCCTTCTCATCCCCACTGACAACCATCCCCATGAACTGGTAGGCTTCCTTCCAACTCACTTTATTTAAATACAGTCATGGGTCACATAATGATATTTTGGTCAATGATGGATTGCATACTACACGGTGGTGGTCCCATAAGATTATAATGGAGCTATAAAATTCCTAACACTTAGTAACAGGGTAGCCATCCTAATGTTGTAGCACAAGGCATTACCACGTTTGTGGTGTTGCTGGTGTAAATAAACCAACTGCTCTGCCAGTCATATAAAAATATAGTACAACAACAAAAAAACAATCCAATTAAAAAATGGGCAGAAGACCTGAACAGATATTTCTCCAAAGAGGAAATACAGATGGCTAACAGACATATGAAAAGATGCTCAAGGTCACTAATCATCAGAGAAATGCAAATTAAAACCACAGTGAGATATCACCTAAAATCTGTCAGAATGGCTATCATCAATAAATCAAAAAACAGCAAGTGTTGGCAAGGATGCGGAGAAAAGGGAACCCTCATACATTGTTGGTGGGATTGCAAATTGGTACAGCAGCTATGGAAAACAGTATGGAGGTTCCTCAAAAAATTAAAGATGGATATACCTTTTGACCCAGCAATTGTACTTCTGGGTATTTATCCAAAGAAAACAAAACA